TAAAGATCTCAGCTTCCAGCTTTATTGGTAGGAAAAAATTGTCACTCTAATAGTTCTCAAAGAATGTTCTAGGAAACACTCAATTATACTAGTTGTAAAACCATACATGACAGAGCTATGACGATTCGTCTATTTAACAAAAAATAACTCAAAAATAGGATGGCAAGCCCAGACCATTAACATTATCCCAAAAAGACAAGATAAATAAGATAAATAAATAAAGAAAAGTGTTACAATTCCAAAATAGTATTCATAAGAATAACAAAGACGGTCGAGTTTAGAGCCTTACCTGTTGTTAATAGAACCATCCTTGTTGTAATGTTGTGCCCCAATAAGCTTCTTCCCAACATCTTGCATTTGTTGACGTAGAGATACTGAATAAACTGCAAAGCAGATGTTGTAGGTAAAGCGTGAAATGGAAGATTGAAGTTGTACGTCAAGTAGAGAGAAATTTACCATCTCCGGAGCTCAACCCAATGAGCAAATCATGTCCTTCCTTTGCATCCGGATCAAATGCATGGCAAACAGGATTTGAATTACTGAAGTGTATTGACTTTATAGGATCCTACATTTCCAATGAACCTCTCAGAATTCATATATTCAATTTTTTCTATCTCAAAGAATAAATATAGTTGATAACGATACCTTATCTCGAGAATTCAAATCACTAATAAAAATTGTGTCACCAACATTGAATATCAAATAAGTCCCTTTGCCATCGAAATTGGGAATACTACCGGAGTTATTTGAACTTGTCACCCCAAATGATCCAGCTCTACCACTCATACCACTGACAGACTTACTTCCACCATTTCCTCCGACAAAACTAAGTGACTTACTACCATTTCCACCACCTAACAATCTCGCTGCTGCTGACTTAACACCACTGGTGACTCCAAAACTTGATGTCGAGTGAGGCTGTGCCTGAATGGGCTTATCTTTGAGAGGAGCTAGAGAAACCTGAAAATCATCTCGGGACTTCAAAAGTTGGACTAATATTTAGGTTGTTTTGACAATACAAAGACGGCAGAACGAGCATTAGCTAGTAGCTACTAACTAAATCTTATCAAGCTGATATCTCAATGTAAAAGCCGCTACTGCGTGGATATATTTCCTTCATTTAAAGGGTTTATTTCAGTCATTTATAGAAGAAAGCTCTTCAAGTAAGCCAGGACCCATCAAGTTTAAAATTGAAGACATAAGGCCTGAAATGAGTGTAAGCACTGAAACCAAAGAAACTTCAAATAATCTCTATACTGGGACTGTCAAATTAAAGCATTAAGAAATATTTATAAAAACTGAATAAACTGAAAGTAATTGTTTTTCACAGGCTCTCAATTAACTTCAAAAACAAAAGGTAAAAGGACAAAACTATTGAACTTTTCGCAGAATAATGAATTATTAAACCCCATAATCTTCAAATCGACCATGTAGCCAAACCCATTACAGATTCCGCTCAAAAGATCGATTTTTCAAAAAGGGTCAATCTCAAAAATCCAATTTTAAGCACCATATTTAAAAAAAAAAAATCCCAAAATAACATAACTGGACTAAATTAAGAAAGAAAAAAAAACAACCCTAGAAAGGGGTTTACCTGAGTAACAGTTTTGCCATGGGAAAAATGAAGAAGACCAGCAGGATAAGTCTTCTCATTATGAAGCTTATATTTTCCTTCTGGGGTTTTGAAATAAGTCTTCAACCCAGGAGATTGTGCGGCGTTGTTTGCCGATGCCGATGCCGATGCCGGCGACATCATGCTATTACTATTACTATTACTACTGTTGATCATTCTCAGAAAATACCAATCCAAAATTCTCAAACTAACACATGTAATCAGATCATTTTGAACCAATTTTGATTTCTCTGGGTATAATTCTTTAAGCGATTATGGAGTTGAATGAATATAACTTTGAAAAGGGTGAAGATTTTGACTTTCGATGAGAGTTTTGGGAGCTTTTTGGTTGAAGGGATGGACGGTTGGAACAAGTCTAATAGCTAGTTATTCTTCTTTTCTTCTTCAATGCTCTCTGTTTTGAGTGCGTTGAGATTAATTTGGATTGAGGGGAAGATCCAGTCTTTTCTTTACTCTATGACTTTGCAAAGTGTGTTTGGAAAATATTCTCTCTATAAAAAAATGTTTTATTAGAAAAAAATGAATTTTCTTTTTAATATTTGGTAACCATATATCAACGTATATTTTAACTTTCAACTTAGCTTTATTTTATATTAATGTATTTTAATTTTGAATTTGTAAAATTATGCATTTTAATTTGTGTAAAGTTGAATAAATAGCTATATCTTGAAATATTGCATAAAATTTATATATTTACTTGTTTAACTTTTATACAAATTTATATATTAATTCATTTACACCTAAATTGAAAAGGTGTAAATGATAATTTGAGAGCAAATTGAATAACTCGTAAGCAACAAAAAAAAAATTATTTCAAGCCTATAAACAAACTCGTATTTTCCAGATATGGTCAAGAGTGTCTAATATACCATAAGAAAGGATATGATATTGAGGTATTCAAATCATAATGGTCATATTTAAAGCTTTGAAAAATCAAGTAAGTTGTAATAGTAAAAATTGGTAAAAGTTTGCACGTTACTTTGATTAGCTTCAAGAATTCTAGGTTAAACATCTCAGATTTTTTCTCTCAATTTATACAGAGTGAGAGAATCCACGATTTGTCAAAACGAAAATCTGCAAGTTTAGTTTCCAAGGCACTAAATCATTTGTCGCTGCAACTTCACAATAAAGATATATTTGTATTTTTGCAAGATGACGCAAATAAACACGGACCTAAATTCATATTAGAGGAAACTATAAAGATATATCTTCTTTGTTATTTTCCATGTTTTTTATGCTTTAGATCGTAGGATAGAACCTTAAAATTTCAACTTGCATTATCTTTGGTTGTTGAATTTTTTCTTGGGTTTAAATTTTTTGCGGGTTATACTTATTGCCTGTGGCCCTGCATTAATGTTTACACGGCTATATTGATGCTTAAAATAATATTGAAAGACAGTAATTATCTATGGGCTAGTACGATAAGTTTGTTACTCGACTGTCTTACCTGGTTATTTTTGACACATAATGATACATGTCCAGTTTTTCAATCACCTTTCATATTTGGTACATTGTTTTGTACATACACATATATTATATAGGTTCAATTTATAGGTTTATATGTTTTTACGTTAGGAAAAGGGTCTGATATACCCCTCAACTTTGTTATTTAGAGCTGATATACCCCTCGTTATAAAAGTGACTCGTATATACCTCTACTTGTAAACAAATGGCCCACATATACCCTTTTCCTCTAACAGAAATGAAAATAATAATAATTTTAATCCTAAATTTTTATTATTTTTTTCTAAAAAATATAATCCCATATGAGTAAATTTAATTTTTGTCAAACATGTTTTTTTTGACTTTTTTTGTTTTGATGACTAATTTATAATTATTATTTTGATAATCAAATTTATTTATTTTTCACTAATATTCTTGTAAAACTTATTATAGATGATCAAATTTTTTCTTCGAATAAGAAATTAAATTACAATACACACAAAAAAAATAGTTTAAATTTTTTTTCTTTAAACTAAGGAATGAAAGAAAAAACAAAATAAGAATAAGAAACTCAAATAATTATAATAAAAGAAGTCAAAAAATAATTTATGTATGAAAAAAATTAAAATATACCTTGAACTTTGTTAAAAGAATCATATATACCCCTAAATAATTTTTAAAAAAAAATTAGAAGTAACAAATATAAATTTAAAACTAATTTTTTAATTTCCGTTAAATAAAGGGTATATGTGAGCCATTTTGTAACGCAAGGGTTATATGCAAGCCGTCTGTATAACGGTAAGGGCATATATGAGCCACTTTTATAACGAGGGGTATATCAGCTCTAAATGACAAAGTTGAGGGGTATATCAGACCCTTTTCCCTTCTACATATCATTATGATCTCAACAGTCTGCATAACATTGCTTTGATTATAGATATCACGATTGTCTCAAAGACTCTTAATGATCCATATAAGTTATAGTTTTTATTCCATATAAATTGTTGAAATTAATCGAATATATTACAAGTTATGTTGACAGACATCTTGTTGAATAGTGACTTACTTTTAATTCGAGATATGCTTATTTGTTATAATGCGCTTATAACGGATATAATTATCCAACAAAAGACGACTCAGAATCAAATGTACACTAGATACCAACTACTTTTTATTTGTCTTGAAAAAATAAATTTTTATTTTTGTTTATCACTTTTAATATACTTACTGCAAAAGGATAGTTAAAGTAATTTTTTTATGGGAAAATTACGCGGCTAAGCAAATTTATACTATTTAATTACTCATCATAGCTATAGTTTGCTATAATTATCACTCGCGACTAGCATTATACATTAATTACGTGGGCTGACTTCGAGTTTGTATAATTAGTTATGTTCGTATATGTATAATTCACCAGGATATACAAATATATATGTATAATACACAATTTTTTAACCTATATACATATACAATTCACCTCTCTCCCACTCTCCGCCCTCTCTCGCTCGCCACTCTCCTCCCTTTCTCAATCTCGCTCGCCTCTCTCCTCCTTTTCCCAATCTCCCTTGCCATTTATACAAATATATATGTATAATATATAGTTATATACAATTACATACATATACAATTCACCTCTCTCCCATTCTCTGCTCTCTCTCGCCTCTCTCCTCCCTATCTCGATCTCTCTCTCCTCTCTCCCAGTCTTCGTCTTCCAATCTCTCTTGTCATATATATAAATACATATGTATAATATATAATTATCTAACCAATATAAATATACAATTCAACTTTCTCTCACTCTTTTCCCCCTCTCTATCGTCTTTCTCATCCATATAACATATAACTATAAATTGTAATTATCAAACTATAAATATAAAAAATAATTAATTATTTTTAAGTGCATATATGTGAAAGTTTACGAAGTAATTAAAAAAGAAGAAAATAATTTATTGTTATATGCACTTGCCCATTGGTATTTAAGCAGCAAAGCCTGACCGGAAGTCCATTTTTCTCTTTCCGTTTCATACTCGACAAAATCTGCGTTAGGTGACGATGAATTTCTGAAGATCTGATTGCTCTAACAATCTGAATTTGTGGATCATCTTCCTCCGATCGCGTGGTAAGCTCCTCTAAATCTCACATTGCATTTTGTTTCTTCAATTCTACCATTTTTTTTAAAGCAGATCTGCTTTGGTTTGAGTCAGATTGTTAATTTTTTTGTATGTTTTCTGCATTTTTTGTTGTGTGGAATTGTGAAAGTGTATTGTTTCTTTTCATTTTTTTGGGATGAAGGATCTATGATTGGAGCTATGTTCAATTTTGCAATTTTCTAAAGGTCTGATTTTGTTTTTCACTGTTCCGTATTTGCGTGGATTGTGAGATTTTAATTACTTATTGTCGTTTTTTGGTTGATGAGGCTCGTTCATTTTGTTGCGATCTTGTGATACAGAATTCTGAAGGTTTGATTTTGTGCACTGCTGCTTATTTGTTTTGATGAGATCTGGATTCCGAAAAGATTTCAACATGTCAGTGCATAACAAGCAGATGTTATGCATTTAATTTTCTCGCATTAGCATAGTTTAATCAATCAGGCTTGTTGAAAATTGGTGATGAAATCCTTGACAAACCACCATTTGACATAGTGGTGCACAGACGTTACTTTGTCAAAAAGGAAGAACATAAGTTGATAACCATCATTGTACCTCTATGATTTTGTGGGTTGGAAAGAGTATATTAGGGAAAAGCCCATTTGACGATGAAAGTGACCAAAGATATTCGGTTTTTTTTTCTAAACTCTTTAGCCTGTACACAAATACAGCGGGCCTTTCCTAAATCCATGTGAATTCCTCTTCATAGGTTTTCATTTCACCAGGGTCGTGAAATGAGTTGGCTTCCAAAATTCAATAAGATTGAGGTTATCAAAAGAAAGGGAGTCTCACCAATTCGTTTACCCTGGTTATGAATATGTGATTCACCTCTGAAAATTAATGACAAAAGTTTGGTTTGTTTATCTGCAGCTGAAAAAATCAATATCAATTGGATCCATTGATATGTGTTTTTTATTTTATCTGTCTTAGTCTAAAAGTGTGAAATAATGCAAGAGAATTTTATGAAAAATACGAAATGAGTGTAGTCAAGTCATTCCAGGAACCTGTATTTATGATAGTAATTTCCCCCCCATGCTGCATGTGGTAGATGGAAGTTCTGATCTCAGGATACAAGGCGTACAAGTTGCACTCCCTGATTTTTACATTTTGTTCTTCTATCAAAACTAAGGCAATAGAAGGGAGGGCTAAATTTGGAGTAGACTATCAAAGAAAGAGGAATAGCAAAAAGTTTCAATTTTAATGAAGAATTGACAGAATAGTATTAAGAAGAATGACTTTTTTATATGACTGATTTCATTTTCAGTTGCTACAAAAAGATTGTATAAACAAAGAAAGCCAACCAACAGACACTTTTGAAAATTAAAAGAAAAGGTAGTTACTCTCTTAATAATACTTACATGAATTAAAGAGAACTAATTTGAAGTGTCTTCTCTAAAGATTGAATTTTCAAGTGCCCGTTGGCTAGCTTCAAAATTTTGAAAAGCAAAAACTATATCTATATGTAGGTTCCACCGTTCCAGTGTTCAGGAAAGCTAGCACTTGCAAGCCTTCTACGCTTCACAGATTAGAATGAGTATGTGAGCGCTTCATTGCTTAAAGCGAGTGCTTCATCGCCTAAAGCGTGAAGCGGGGCCTTATCGTTTTTTTCCGCTTCACGCTTCCCTGAACACTGGTAGGTTCTCTGTAACAGCCAGAAAATCAATTGGCTATAGAAAACGAAACATTTCTTCTTTACACCATTCTGCCAGTTTTTCTTTAATGTTGCTATTCCTCCTTCAATCTACTATAATTTTCGAAGTCCTTCTTTCTATTGGTTTAGTTCTTGTGATAGAAGAAATTTAAAAGCCCCAATTGATTTTCTGAGTAGACATTGTATTCTAGGGATAAATGAAAAAAAAAATCAGTTAACCATTTGTACCATATGGGGAAATATAGTTTCTTGAAAAGGGGGCTTACACTTATTCCGTGTTTTTAAATAAAATTCTGCCATGATTTCACTGGTTTAAATTATTTTTCAATATCTCTACAAAATTCCCTTGTTAAATAAGGAGGAAATACGAAGGTACGTGTTACCTTTTTGTGTGGCATTTTCAGCTCCAAAACTAGAAAAAGAGGAGCAACTAAATGTTCTTAATTTTCCTTCTACCTATACCAAACAAGTGGAGTAGTTTAAATAGAGCAGTACTGCAAAGCAGTTTTGACTAATGACAGTAATGGTCAAATGTCATGTACATAGAATATGGTGGCCAAATGTATTAAGGCGTTGCTTCTACTATTGATCCATATATGGCCTTGATGTTATAAAGTGCCTCGAATTTTGTCCTTCCTACGTTAATCTCATTGGGTTTTGCAAAAATTGCATGCCAACTCGCCAAACCAACCCTTCTTCTTCCACCACTAACCAAAATCACCGACACCTTCATATATATCATCACCACCAACTTAAGTAATCTACCTTAGATATTATTTAAGATATTTCTTGTAACCTCTAAATGGATGGGGTTAATGTGGGAAGGAAAAATTTGAGCCACTTTTATAACGTCAAGTCCAATATGGACCAATGGTATACACAAATGGACGATAGTATAATGGAGGACAATACTAAACCTTTTTAAATAGTAGAAGGGCAAATATGGCCCTTTTTTCCCTTTTCATTATCACTTGTTCTTTGACATTTTTCATGAATATGTCATACGGACTATGTTATTACTTTGTAGATGTTGCTATGCATCATTTTGACCTAGTAGACGCTTCCATTGAAAAAATGGTTTGTATTTTAAATGTATTATTTTCCCAATAAATGCCAACATGTGAAGATTTCTTCTGAAGTTGGATAAATGCCAACATGTGACTGCATCACAGAGCTATTCAAAGTTGGGATTTGAACGTGCTCTTTCGGTTTAGTGTTTGATCTGTACCCAATTATTACCTGTGTACGTAAATTGAATTGATATTTGTTATTGTTTATTAAGCAGAAAAACATGGCCAAGGATGTCGAAGTTAATGGATTCAACCCAGGATTGATTGTCTTACTTGTTATCGGTGGGCTTGTGCTGACGTTCCTTATTGGGAACTATGTCCTTTATGTGTATGCCCAGAAAACCCTTCCTCCAAAGAAAAAGAAGCCGATCTCCAAGAAGAAGATGAAGAAGGAAAGACTGAAGCAAGGTGTTTCAGCACCCGGAGAGTAGATGTTTAGACACTGGAGGACAAGAACATGTCTGAATTCATGTCCATCAGCACTAAAATCAGATGATTGTAATTCTTAAGGTTACATTTCTTGTCAAAACAGATAGAACATCAAAAACTTCTTTTGCTGCCTTTTATTGTGCTACTGACTGAGAAATTTTCATAGAAGCTACTGGATTTTCTTTTTTAAACTTCTAGAATAACTATCGGTTTTTCTTTTTGGTGATATGAGGTTTATGTTTAGTACTTGCGTTGCATAATCGTCAAAGAAGTTGATTTTGTTCCTGATAAAAAACTCTCATAGATTTGTAACGGTAACTGCAGCAATCATAATTCCACAATGCTCATTTACACAAATTATAGCAGATGATATATTTCTAATGCTTTTCACAAGTCATTACATATACACTTGTGCAGTTTAGGAAGCCTCATTGCTTATTCAATCAAACTTTGGTAAAAACTCATCCATGAATTTACTTCCCCTGCAATACATAAAAAAGATGTCCACTTATAGAAATACATGAAACACTACTTGTTGTGTAGAAGGAAGAGAGAGTTTAGCAAGGCATACTAGCTCTAAGGCCATTAGAGTTGCAACCAGTTCAGAATTTGATGTGAGGAAAAAAATCCTAGGTGAACACAATAGCATCCCTAGTTTAGTCTAAGAGATTGTTTTTTGTGGGGGCCAAGAACAAGAATCAATTCCTAAGTCATGATGATCATGGAAGAAGAATGAAGTGGGGGTAGGCAAAAGGGCAAAATGAGTTAATGAACTAAACTAGTTTTGGCAATACTGGATGTGTCGTTATCTTGACAGCAAAATTAGTTACCAAGGTCCTTACATGTGTATGGTTAGAACATTTATGTCTTGAACTGTGCCATGTGTGCATTATTGAAAAATGTACTATAAGCTATACGACTCTTCAAAATTATCATTGGATCGTATGTGTACATTAGAAAAATACACCTATCATCTTAGTTTAAACAGTATCAATTGACACCATTTCGTCAAAAATTATGCAAACACAAAATATAATGCACAAAAGTTTAAGTGACAGTTGCTTGCCTGGTTAAACTCTGTAGTTTTCTGATTCAAAATTTAAACCTAGTAGATTTTGATACAGAACACAATTCATCTGATTGACTAGTGTTCAAATTCAAAATAGCTACTATGGATATGATTTTTTGAAGAATCAAACACGACTCTAATAATTTAAACAAAATTACTTTTATATTACGTTATAGAGGTGTCTAGATCTAATCAATCTACATTTTTGAACCATATACTATGTGACAGTTGCAAAACGTGATGTGTGATAGAAATTTACTCATGCCATAATTTTTGGCTTTAATTGAACATGACAGAAATGTGAATTAAAGCCTCGTGATCGATAGCTAAATCTTTTACTACAAGGGTACACTATTTTCATTTCCCTATGCACGTGTCATGTGTGTATGGGCCGAAGCCGATAGACATTTACAGTTTATGAGATAATAAACGATTGACACCAGTTAATCATTTAACTCCAATGGCAATGCTAATAGAATTATGTATTTATTTATAACTCATCACCACACTAAAAAATTGTTTTATGAACAACTTGTATTTATCTATCTATGGCTGTGGATGCTTTTCTTCTCTAATGCAATAACACTTTAATTAATGGTATCAGCTTCATGAGTTGTTATTATTAAAAAGCGAATAAAAAAACTAATAAGAAGCATCTAATCATTTTCTGCCGGAAAATAAATAAAATAGTGAGATAATTACAAATTAACTACCAAAGAAGGTGGTTATTGTTGATGAAGATGCTCTTCCCTTGATAATGATACATCGAGTTAAGTTTGAGTAACGAAAAATTCTTAAAAGGGGTCGTTAATTTCATTTGAACTAATATAGTATATGAATTTAAATTAGTCGAGCTTCAATGCAGGTAGCACGAATTAAATGGAAAAAAATACAAAGTAATTACAAATTAAAAATGTGGGGTCCACTTGCCCAGGTCTGCCCAATGGGTCCCAAAACCAGCTGGTCTTCTAACATGGTTGAATTCTTCATCAAGATCTGATTTTTATCACACTACAAATGCCTAAAAGGGTGCTAAAGTAGAGGGGTCCAACATTTTCTTGATCTTTTTATGTTACCCTCTACACTGTATAAACATATTTTGAGATAAAGTTACATTCTTTGTAGAACAAATTAGATTTTTTTTCTGAGATCTGAAGAAGGGGGCTGCAATTTTGTCTAAAGGGTATTTCTTCATACTTCAGATCTTTCAAAATATGTATATTTTTTCATTTTTTGAGTTTTTTTTGCTGTCTTAGTGGAAATTGAAGCTAGTTGTAGTGTCATTTTCTTTAATGTCTTTTTAAAGATTTGGTGGACTGTTGCTCTTTTGGAACTAATACTATAATATGTTCAGTTGAATTAGTAGTTCTGTTATCTGTTTAGCTGTTGAGTAAGTATAGAGATAAAAGAATCAATTTTGAATCATCTATGTGATTTTTGACTACTGTGGGACTGAGGATTCAGAACCTTTCGTGATTTTTATCCCTATTTGAGAAATTAGGTGTAATAGTGTAGGTTTTGGATAACTTGATAATCTGGTTGGAAATGACTGTTTAATTCATAGATCTTTAAGTTATTACCTTCTGTTCCTTAAATGATCTTCAGATGATTTTTAGGTTCTTTCCTCACCCTTGTCGCAGTATTACTCTTGTAGTTTCTTGTCCATTGATTTTTGTTATCATCGGTTGTTTATTGATTGTATTATTTTGTTGTAGCACTGTTATGTTACTATATGTTGCTTTTACCCTCCCTAGACCCCACTTTTGTAGGACTGTAGTATTTGCTTCCTTTTAATTTTGTGAGTTATATGGATAAATCTCTCACTGAAAAGGTTAAGCTAGCTGTGTAATGTGCTATGCTTTGTCTTTTAAATAGGGAACATTGAGGAATGAATTGAAAATGGGGAAGAAAGGAAACTGGTTTTCTTCGGTAAAGAAGGCACTAAGCCCAGATCCTAAGGTGAGAACATGGAGAAGGTTTCGTGGAATAGCTGTATCGAGCTTTTCTAGTATGCTGTAATGTTTTTTTCATAATTGAACTGTGACTAAGCATTCTTGAGCTGAATTTCAGAAATCAAAGAAGAAATGGTATGGAAAAGAGAAGGATCCAGTTCCAGATTCTTTCTCCCCAGTTGCTGCCTCAGTATCTCCTCCTCATCCTGTTCCTCATGTGGAAGAGGTTGCACTGGATGAAGTGGAAGAGGAGCTGACAAAACATGCATACTCCGTTGCAGCTTCCACTTCTGCAGCTGCTGAAGTTGATGTTTCAGCCACCGAGGCTGCTGAAGAGGTTGTTTGGTTAGATAAAGTGACTCAGTATACTGGCAAATCAAAGGAGGAAGTAGCCGCCATCAAGATTCAGACTGCATTTAGAGGATATCTGGTATGCTTCTGTACATTCTTATATTCGTTTTGTTCTAAACGAATTTCCCATACGTGGCAGCATTTCTTTCCAGCTAGGTTACCATAAGCTTGATACTTTTCCTTATTAGATCAGTAAAGCTAGTAATATTTGTTTGATACTGAAAAGGAATTTGCTATTGACATTTATCAAGTGCAGGCTAGGAGGGCATTGAAGGCTTTAAGAGGGCTAGTTCGACTCAAATCACTTGCTGATGGACCTACAGGGAAACGGCAAACTGCACATACTCTAAAATGCATGCAAACGCTGTCTCGCGTGCAGTCTCAGATTAGTTCTAGAAGGATTAGGATGTTGGAAGAGAATCGAGCTCTCCAGAGGCAGCTTATGCAGAAACATGCAAAAGAACTTGAGAGTTTGAGGGTCAGTATTCTTCGGTTATTCCACCTTTTTTTTTTCTGAAAGAAGGAATCTGCACCAATATAA